AGCATCCCCATCCCCGCCAACACCCGCGGCATCCCGGCGTCGTCCTTCGGTCCGCTCTCACCCGTCGCGACCACCGGGACGTCCCCACTGGCATCTTATGCCTCGTACGGGACCTCTCCCCAGGGTCCCGGCTCGCACAACCGTCAGCGCAGCACCTCCTCCGCTGCTTTCGGGATCGCAAGGCAGCTCACCGCGTTCCTCCCCGCCGACTACCCGCTGGACGAGGAGCCAGAGCACGAGGGTCCCAATGGAGGCTCGGCGAAGAAGCAGGGAAAGATAAAGGTGTTGCTCTTGGAGAACATCAACCTCGACGCGGCCAACTTCCTCAAAAACGCGGGCTACGAGGTGAGTCGAGAAGTGACAACTCCAAAGATAGGGGACCCAGAATAGGCCGCAGCTGAGTTGCTCTTTAGGTCGACCACTTCGCCAAGGCGTTCAGCGAGGAGGAGCTGCTGCAGAAGCTGCCAAACTACCAGGCCATCGGTATCCGTAGCAAGACCAAGATCACCAAGAAAGTCATCGATGCGAACCCGCAAGTAAGCCCGGATGCAGATTCAGCCTCGTGAAGCTTGGTTCCGCCCGCTGACCACTTGCGTTTAGCTCCTTGTCATCGGCTGCTTCTGCATCGGCACGAACCAGGTCGACCTCGACAGCGCGGCCAAGAAGGGTATCGCCGTCTTCAACTCTCCGTTCTCCAACTCGCGCTCCGTCGCCGAACTCGTCATTAGCGAGATCATCGCGCTCTCGCGTCAGCTCACGGACCGCTCCGGCGAGCTCAAGCAGGGTATCTGGAACAAGGTGTCCAAGGGCTGCTGGGAGATCCGAGGCAAGACGCTCGGTATCGTCGGATACGGCCACATTGGCGCTCAGCTCTCGGTCCTCGCCGAGGCATTCGGCATGAGCGTCATCTACTACGACGTGATCCCGATCATGCCACTCGGGACGGCCCGACAGGTCGACACCCTCGAGGACCTCCTCTCGAAATCCGACTTTGTCACCCTCCACGTGCCCGAGATCCCGGACACGATCGGCATGATGGGCGCATTGGAGTTCTCCCAGATGAAGAACGGCGCGTACTTTATCAACAACGCCCGAGGCAAGGTCGTCGATCTCGATGCGCTCGCCGACGCGCTCGAGTCGAAGCATCTCGCCGGAGCTGCCGTCGACGTCTTCCCCCGAGAGCCCGGATCGAACGGTCCCGGCTTTGACGGTTCTCTCGGCTCGTTCATCCCCCGCTTGAGACAGCTCAACAACCTCATCCTCACCCCGCACATCGGTGGTTCGACCGAGGAGGCCCAGCGCGCCATCGGATCAGAAGTCGCCACCGCCCTCGTCCGGTATCTCAACTACGGAACCACCCTCGGCTCGGTCAACTTCCCAGAGGTCGACCTCCGTGCCATCACGGCCCAGGACGAGCGACACATCCGGCTCTGCTTCGTGCACAGGAACGAGCCAGGTGTGCTCAAGGTCGTCAACAACATCCTCTCCGACCACAACATCGAGAAGCAGTTCTCAGATTCCAAGGGGGACATTGCCTACCTCATGGCCGACATCTCTGGCGTCGGTCATGAAGAGGTCGCGGACATCTACACACAGATCAAGCGAACTCAGGCAAATATCCTCACCAGGTTGCTGTGTGAGTGTGGATCGGCGCAGTGTCAACTGGCCCTGCTCCGTTGTGATGATGCTGACTCCCGCTTGCAGACTAGACAATGGAAGATTGCAGCTCGAAAAATGCCCTTGAAGATGCCGCCTCAACGCGGCGCCGGATCGCGGAGATGTAGGTACACTTGTATTTCAACAAACATCAAAAATAAAGCATGCACTGTTTCTGTCTGTTACCATTGTGGTCATTCTTCCGCCTTGGTGGACAAGCTACATACGCGTACGATACGAGTAGCTTGGCCGCTGTGGTGCAGGGTAGTGGTCACGACGCGCTCAAATGCCATGCAATGCTGCCGCCACGTTGCTGATTGCGCTTGGTTCCGTCGTCTCGGCCGTGGATCATGCACTCGGCTCCACTCGCTCCCTCCTAAACATCTCGCTCCCGGCCTATGCGGTCCGGTCCCGCTTCCAGACTGTCTGCTCCGCTGAGCTCGTAATCGTCATTCCCCTCCGCGAACTCCTCGTCATCCTCCCCGAACGCGTCGACTTCCTCCCCCGTTCCGGGCTCTCGGCGGATACGACGCAGCACAGCCATCGTCCCGTCCTCTCCGGGATAGTGACCGTCATCCGCATCAAAGTCGAACATCCCATCCACACCCCTCTGTCTCCTATCGAGGCCCTCATCATCGTCGTCTTCGTTGTTGTCGTCCGAATCGTCCTCGCCTTTGTAGCCCATGAACGCGCCCATTCGAGCGAGGTATGCAGCACGGTTGATCTCGTCGGACAAGTCAAGGTGGGTGGGCACACCACCGGGAGCAGGGGGGCCGTCGGGGTATGCGTCGTCCCGCTTCCGACGGGGTTTGGGGGAGGAAGAGGCTGTGAGCGTCATGGCAGAGAATTGGTCGGCGGTGGCAGCGTCAAAGTCGCGGTCGGCAAGAGCGATTGTTTGGGCCATGGGTCTGGCGTGAGTCAGCATGCGGCCAGCACTCTCTACACATAGACTCGCCGAAGAATCGGATCAAGCGTTCATAAGAGGACGGTGTGAGGCCGAATCTTTACGACATCACTCACAATATCAGGCCGTTTGTACCGAAATGCTTTTCACCCGCCTCGATAGTCTCGAGAGCGCGTCTCTTGCCGCTGGTCGCCTTGCCTGGGGGAACGGGCTGACCGCTCTGCGCCGAACTCCTCCTCCTCGGTCCAGCCCCGTTACCTTGCACTGGGAATTGCACATGCCCCTGCCCCTGCTCTCCCTTGCCATCCTCAAGCTTGACGTCTTCCATCCCTTCCTCTGCTTCCTCGAGCAGCAACTCCTTTTCCCTCGCGAGAAGCTGTTCTCTCGCCGCGAGCAGCCGCTCCCTAACGGGATCGGTCGGGGACGTCCCCAGCATCATTGCGGCCGAGTTGCTCGGCCCGGCGATGGGTGACGCGGACGAGAAAGGGCTGGATGACAGCATCACTTGCCCCTGAGGTGGGATGGGGGAGTGCGATGGTGATTGAGATGCCAACGGTGGAGGAGAAGAGAAGAGACCGATGTTAAGGACGCGCTCATTGCGTTCCAGACGCTGGCGAACCTCGGGAAGGGAGAGTGTGGAGATGTCGTCCGGCACAGCGAAGGAAGGACGTTGGCGGCGTGATGGCGGCATGGTGGTGATGGTGAGGGAGTGGTGCAGGTGCTGCTGAGGCGATGGGTTGGGCGGCGATGCTTGTGGGTAGCTCTCGGTAGCTGTAAGGATGGTGTGATGCAATGTGGGACGAGGTGAGAGTCGAGGAACAGGGGTTGGTCGGCTATGCACGCAGGCTGTAGGTGGGTGTAGTCACGAGTTGTTGGGATGATGGAATGGACAGAGGAACACCGGAGCGTCGTCGTCGACAGAACTCATACACCAGTTTGGCGGAGGTCGCCGCAAAGTGGGCGATCGTGCATTTGCTCTACAATGGTGGCAACACTGGCGGCGCATCGGGAGCATCGGGAGCGACTGGTCCTCACCAGCGGCAGGCTTCCGCCGAACAGACTACTCAGTATCAGGCGAGCGAGCTCCAGCATCGCATCGCCGCGAACCACGTCTTTCGCCGAGTCTGTATCAAGGAGGTTCAATGCGGTGAGCTCGTCATGATCCCGTTTCGGGCTGGCTGGAATGTATTAGGAGCACCAGACCCTCAATTTGGTAGTTCAAGTAGGAGCATTTGCACGTAAGCGAGGCAGGCAGACGGAGGATGACAAGGAAATGGACGAAAGCAGAGAAGGTGAGGCAGAACAGCCAGTCCAATTTGAGCAAGGTGCGGAACGGCCAGCCCATGAATCACCGATAACTCGCTGATCGCGATGCAGACGGGGCAGAGTTGCACCTTCCGCCCAGCGAAGCCCGGGGTCAGTGAGGACGTCAACCCATCGGCTGAAAGAGACGAGGGAGTCCTCCTCCAAATGGGATTCAATGGTGGAACGGCTAGGGAACGCCTAGATATCGTATCGGAGCGCAAAGATACGCATGCATAACTCGACCCCGTCGCCTTGCGGGGATCATTGTTGTGCAGGCGAGATCTGCGGCGGATCAGCACACACTCCAGTACCTCGAGTCACCAGCCTACGATAACTCACCAGAATCACGCCGTCTCCTCGGACAAAGAGCATGTCAACGTTCCGCCTGTCCACCTGGAGGACCTCGTTAGCCACGATCCAGGCCCTCATAGGCATCCAGGCCATCCTGATGCATCCCTCGAGCCGAACCATGGCTCACTCTTGGTGGTAGCGGTTGACCGTCGTCCGTCACGTCCACTGAATGTATTGATTCTTCCACCTGGGAGACGACGAGGTTCATGTGCGCGTCATACGCCTGAAAACGAAACCATCAGCATCAGCTTCTCCCCGACACTCGCACAAAGCAGAACGCATGATGACTGCTGTGCGCGTGGATGACATAGCCAGCTCACATGAAGGACACCGGTGAGGGTTCGATCACCTCGCAGCTTGACGAACACGCGTCTGGAACGAGTATCAGCAGGTCAATCGAGGGAGTCTTTCGACGCAAGCTCTGCTCTGCGCTGCTCTGCTCGGCTCAGCTCGACTCACTCTCCCAGAGCGAGCTTGACGAGGTCGAGAGGCTCGGAAATCCCCGCGTTGACCGCTTCGTCCATGGCAAGTAATGATGGGTGTTGTGGACTCTGCGAGGCTGGCAAGGATGAATGAAAGGACGAGAGGGGCTTCCTCGTTGACGACGGTGAGTAGTTGGCGGTGGATGGTGGGTCACGTGGGCAAGACAATGGATTTGATCCCGCTGACCGGCCTCGCGCCTGTTTTGGCCCGGGCGACGCAGAGTCTGTCGTCTCATCGTCTCATCGATAACCTCTTGGACATACATCGGCTCGCTGGGGAAGTAAACTTCGCCTACGTGCAGGCAGCAGTTCCAAGCAACAATGGTGTCCACCCGGTCGAGACGCAGTGGTGTCCCAGCGGAGGACAACCGCATGGTGGTGATCGTGACCGGTGCCAACAGGTATCTCCCATCTCCCGCACTGTACTCTCGTCTCCTCGCTGACCGACCTGTCTCTAGCGGTTTCGGCCTCGGTATCTGCAACCAGGTCATCCGAGCACTGTCTCTCCATCCGGGTCATTCCATACCCGTCTCGACGCCCCAATCGTCAGCTACTCCCTCGACATTACGACATCTCATTCCTTCCGCTGCTTCTCCGGCCGCATCCAAATCAGCAGCGGCAGCGGCATCGACGAAGCACGTCCCGACCACGCCGCCGCCTACCCTCACGCTCATCCTTGCCTGTCGATCACGGACGAACGGGGAGAACGCGCGGGAGATACTCCTCGAGACGCACGATCGGGAGCTGAAGGAACGCGCTCAGAATGGAATACCCGTGAGGGAGGGATGGAGAGAGGGATTAAGGGTCGTGATTGAGACGGTGGATCTGGATTCTGTAGGAGGGGATAATGGGATCCTCGCGTTCACGGAGCGCATCAAGGACAGGTGAGTTCAACCCAGCTTGAGCCCCAGTTGGATTTCCGCTCACGAGGCGAAAAGATACCCCCATATCACGAGTCTTTTCCTCAACGCGGGACTGGCGGCTTTCAAAGGAAACGACTACTGGAAGGTCGCCAAGCAGGTCTTCACAGCCGGGCCGGCCATCGCATTCAGTCACCCGGAATTCAACATCGAGATTCCGGGCGTGCTCACTGCCGACGGGGAACGCGGCAAAGTCTGGGGCGTGAACGTCCTCGCCGGGTACATCCTGGTACGTCGCCGTCGCCGTCGCTGTTGTCCTCCTGCACTTGACCCCACTCCCGACCCCCGCTTACCGCTTGGGACAGGTGAAAGAACTCGCGCCTATGCTACAACGTTCTCCGCCCACTCTCCCTTTCCCCCCTCGTGTAATATACACCTCCAGCGCCACCGCGAAATACGACGCCGTCAAAGCCGAGCTGGTGCACGACTACCAGCTGGTGCAGCACGAGGCGACCTACAAGCTGAGCAAGTATCTCGGGGATCTCGTGATGTGTCAGCTGGATCGGGAGCTCGGAGGTGGTGAGAGGTCGGTACGATGCCTCACTGCCGATCCCGGGGCGGTTGCGACGAGCATCTTTGACAGAGGGTTCGGACCGTGGTTGTGGTTCCAGAGGATCATGAAGTTTTTCTATTGGTTGGCGTTTGCTTTGGTAAGTGATAGCGACCAGACCAGACCAGACCGCTCTCAAAGGCAAAGGCTGGAAATGTCGTTATCACTTCGCTGACGACGATAGACCCGACTGATCGGCTCGCCCTATCACCCCATCGACGCGACAGACGGCGCGACGTCAATGGTATATGCCGCGTTGATCGACGAGGCATTCCTACTGCCCTCAACTAAAGTCCCCGCTCCGAAGTTCGTATCACATTCCCACCCCCTCAGGCCATGTACCGTCGACTACAGAGAGGTGGATCGATGGGAAGACGCCGAGGAGATCGGCCGGAATCAAGCAAAGACGTGCGAGTCAATACGGCTAGAGTGGCGGAGACGTGAGGGTCTGGAATAGCGATCGGTTTTGTTGCTCAATGCTTTCCTCTTGGGCACCCTGGTGAATATCACACCGATCATGTAGAATGTAGAGCTTGACGTTGCCGGGCTCGCGTCATGCATGCGCCGCGCTCTCCTCGCATGCAGGCCGCGATTTTGCATGGTACCAGTATCGATACAAGTCACAAACCATTACCGTTTCCGGCTTGGGTGAGCGGCGGGTTCCGTCAGTCCCGTCGGAAGCGGCCAGCCAGCATCCCGGACGCGCAGCCCAATTGTTTCCACGTACTCACAACTTCACAGCCTGCTCTCTTTGAGATTCACGACAACAACATCGCTCACTGATCCGAGGTCGTGTTGAAGCTGCTGCTCCGGCGTATGCCCACGTCAGACAGGTGACCGTCCGCCATGGTACGTCCACGTCCAATTGAGCGGTGACCCATCCACCTACCTGCTGTGGAAGACGCAGTCGCGGTTGCGCTGACTGCCCAAACCCGTTCTGTAGGACCACAACCTCCTCGTCTCGGAGCTGCAGTCGTTGGTCCTCGAGAGCAAGCGACGTAATCCCGAAGTCAAGGATGTGAGCGACACTCCGTCATACGATTCGAGTGCTATCGGTATTGATGGCTGTTCAGGCTGGAGAACGGGCGCTTGAGCTGCTTAAGGGCGGCCCACTCAGCAAGGAGGATGCGGTCGGTGAGTGCGAGTGCGAGTGTATGACTAGCTCGCCGGGGTCGAGCTAAGAGATGTAGCGCACTCCGGAGAGCTGTTAGCGCCGATAACGCTGGGTTGCAAGACCAAGGTTGCGAAGATTGTAGGGATCAGCATCGCGGCGCTGCAGCGATTGGTAGCTCTCGGCGGCGTCCCGACGGTGCGTCACGAATCAACCCGGGTCAGGCCGCAGACTAAGCGCTGACGTCCATGTCCGCAGGAAGCGCTACCTGGGGTTCTCCAAACCCTCACCAGCGTGGCCAACCAAGCGGTGGACATCCAGCTCAAGATCCTCCAGACGCTTCTTTCCATCCTCACTTTCAACCGAGACGTACACGAGGATGTCCTCGGCCAGGTACGTAGCGTAGCGCCATTGTATATTCCTCTCCAGAGCCTCAAAAGCTCGTTGACGTGGTCTTCTCCGGAGCACTGCTGATCGTCCCAGGCCCTGCTCTTATGCTTCAAGTTGCAGGATTCTCGCGTCTCGGTCGTTTCCTCCACAGCGGCAGCTACCCTCCGCCAGGCCGTCATGGTCGTCTTCGACCGTATTTCCACCTCGACCGAAACCCCTTCTGTCCCCCTGCACCTACCTTCCGACCCGCCCGTTGAACTCACCATCACCCCTTCGGCGATGGATGCGTTCAGCCTGTTGTCGGATCTGTGTCTCCTCACCGCCTCCGGGTCGGGCGGGTCGGGCCTTTCACTCTGGGCTACGAGCGAGAAGGAGAAACCAAAGATACTCAGGCTGAGCTCGTTGCATCGTACCTTCGGTCTCGAGCTCATTGAGAGTATTCTGAGCGGCTACGAGGAGGGGGTCAAGAAGGTGAGTGGAACCAACACGCCGCTCCGCTGACGGATCAGCGGCCGGAATTACTGTTCCTCATGCGGAACTCGCTCGCCCCCTTACTGCTCAAGCTCCAAGCTGAGAAACCCACATTTCCCATCGCCCTCCGAGTCTGCCGCCTCATCTTCCTCCTCATCCGGTCGTTCAGCGAGCAACTCCCCCTCGAGGTCGAGACATTCTTGTCGGTCCTCATACGCCTGGGCATGGACGCGGAGGGCGAAGAGGGTGCCGGCGCCAAGAAGGACCATGTCATTCCGTGGCTGCGGGTCCTCGCGCTTGAGATCCTCCGAGGGTAGGTAACGAGAGCCGATGCCACGAGCCCCGCTGAACTTGGCAGGATCTGCGGGGACATCACGCTGTTACAGAAACTTTTCAACCAATACGAGCAGCCAGAGGGACCCGCGCTGTTCTCGAAGCTCGTCTCCTCGCTTGGCCGATTGGTCAGCGAGAAACCCGCTCTCCTCGGTATTGGAGCGCAGATGCACGGCGTCGGCGTGCCTTCCACAGACGTGCCGAGCAAAGACGCAGGCTACTTCGACATGGGTCTGGGCATGGTTGCTTCCGCGGCGAGTGTCGGGGTGTCCACCGTCAGCTCAATGATGGGCACAATGGGCGGGGGACTAGGGAGCCATTCGGGCCTCAAGCTGAGATTGTAAGTGGTGTGAAACCCATCGGAGAAACGGAGGAACGGTGCTGAGTCGTCTCAGGATTGAGCAGCACGATAAAGCCGAGGCGCCAGCTGTTCCGGAGACGTACATATACCTCCTTGCCCTTCAGTCACTCGACGCGATCTCCGAGGGTATCTTCAACACCACTGCGCAGTCTACGGAAGCACCGCCTGCGATCAAGGGCATGGCTCAATCGGCGTGGCCTGCGCTCCTCGCAGCGCTATCATATTGCATCGGGACCAATCTCTCGGATGGCCTCTTCGCCGAAGCGCTTGGAGCACTGCAGGACTTCACCATTGCCTGCGGGCTGTTGGGGCTGAACACGCCTCGGGACGCCTTCCTCGCCACGCTGGGGAAATACGCCGTCCCTCCACCGGTTGTGTCCGCCATGCAGACCTACATGGAGGCTCCCAATACCGGTAGAAACAGCTCGGTGATTGGTGCCGAGGCGCTCGGTCTCGCGGCACTGGGTGTGGGAGCGCCGATCGGTCCACCTGGTCTCTCCGAGAGGAACCTCGCGTGTCTCAAGAGCACGGTGACTACCGCTCGAGTCCTTTCTGGCAGCCTTGGCGAGGCGTGGCACGATGTGCTCGAGGTGTTGCAAAACGCAAATTTCCTCCTCGCTGCGAAGAAGGTCAATCCCAACCTCGCACGACGACCTACGGTGCAGTTGCAGTCGCCTTCGCTTGGTGGGCCGCGCACCTCGATGGAATCGACAGACGGGCGACACGAGGCGTTCAACGACCTCGACGCCGAGTCGATACAGTCGGCCATCAACGTGTTGTTTGATGGCACCAAGGAGTTGGATGATAAGGCTTTCAGCACGTTTGTCGCTGCTTTGTGTCGACTCAGCTCGGAGATGATCGGTCTCAACAACTTTGCCACGTCGATAGCGGACCCCGCCGGCCCAAGTCCGCCATCGCCCATGTCGCCAACAATGGCGCTGTCGCCCAGCGAGGGGGGCAGGAGGAGAACCAGCGGATTGAATATCTCGCACAGCATCAAATCGGGCGAACGATCCTTCTCTTTGACCAAACTTCGGACTATCGCGACTCTGAATCTCCCGAGGCTGGTCAACTGCGATCCGGAGATAGGGTGGAACGTCATCACCCAACATCTCCTGTCCGTTGCGCGCCACGTCACCGCGCCATCGACGATCCGGATGCAAGCATCTGACACCCTCGGCGAGATCTTACTCGCCGCTGTCAGAATAGGCAAGGAGTCTCGAGTGCAACATCAGGTATTTGGTGTGCTGGTCCGACAGGTCGACCCAAATCCGATCAGCAGCATTATCGCGACCGACTACGACGTCCGCTCGGCGGGGTATCAGACTCTCAATCAGATCCTCGAGTCTTCCGGCCACTCGCTCGAGGTCGGCTGGCAGACTATTTTCAACATGCTCAACGCGGTCTGCAAGAACAAGGCGAACAAGCCGAGCGAGTCTACATCCGTCTCGATGAATCGGTCCGAGTCGTCCCTCTCTGCTTCGGAGGCGCAGCGGCCCACGTCACTCTACTCGAAGGGCGATGCGGTGCTGGTGCGGATAGCGTTCCCCTCGCTCAACCTCATCTGTACTGACTTTCTGTCCTCGCTCGACGCGGACGCCATGCGGCAGTGCATCACTTGCCTCGGGTGCTTTGGTCGACAGGAGGAAGACGTCAACATCACGCTCGCAGCTATTGGATTGCTGTGGAACGTGTCGGACGCCGTCCAGGGTACGGACAAGGACCTGTGGCTCTGCCTTCTCACCGAGCTCCTCGAGCTCGGGCGCGACTCCCGCCTCGAGGTCCGGAGCTCGGCAATGCAGACTCTCTTCCGTTGTATCGAGCTGTACGGATCGTCACTCTCACCGCAACTGTGGGAGGACGTCCTGTGGAAAGTCGTTTTCCCCCTCCTAGACACGACCACTCCGGACGAAAGTCAGATCCTGGCGTTGACCTCGCTCGGCACGATTTTCAACTCGTTCCTCCAACCACTCTCCGCCCTCGACTCGTTCGAGAAGGTGTACACCCGCCTGCTCGCCCGGCTCAAGCAGTCGTTCGTCGTCGAGCCGAGACAGTGCTGCACCGCCGCGCTCAAGGCTCTCGAGCGCGTGCTCCTGGCCGTGGACCTCCTCGCTGAGACAAATCCTCCCACGGCGGCGTCGATCCTCGACTCGACCTGGCTCACATTCGTCGAGATGGGCGAGGCACTCAACTCCAGCGGCGAACCATACACCCAGGAAAACCTCGTTGCCCTCGTGCGGATCGCCTCTCTTCTGCACGAACAACTGACTTGGAATCCCGACCGCCTTCGCCAGCTATCCACGATCCTCAGGGGGATCATGACCTACACCCGGTCCCCAGAGTATCGTCCAGACGTGGACGTCATGTCCCCTCTCCAATCCTCCATCTGCGAGCTCGTTGCCTCCTCCACAAAACTTGGTCCCAGCATCGTGCTCTCCGACTTGGCCGAGTATGCCTCGTTGGCATATGTCGGAGATGCGGCCAGCGGTAAATTGACGTATGTTGCCGTGTCGAAGTTCGCCATGCCGCGGATGAAGGAGGTCTTTGCACGAAACGGAGAGGACAAGGAGTTGTACGAAGATGGCACGGTGGAAAGCGTCTTGGCAGTGAGTGGACGATGCGAACCGCGGAGCCCTCGCTGGCTCTCCTCTTTGCGCTGGAGTCGGTGATTGCGGATGCGGGAGACATTCGACAGTCGAAGCTGACATCACAAGGCATACGGAATCCCAATCAAATTGAAATACGATTGCCCCGCGCCCAGCAGGTATGGCAACGATCAGCCGCTCTG